AAAAGGGGGGACTAATGCCGCATGAATTCGCGTGGTTTTCGTGTGGAAGAGGACGAAGAGGTTGGGTTGGAGCAGTTTTTCTTTTTGTCCTAGCTTGACGAGCAGTTCTGCGGAAGGTTTCCTTGAGTGAGACAAGATTGGTGACAATATATATATATATATATCACGTCGTGTTTCTCGCGTTCTCCGTGTTCCTCCACCCACCCCGCTTTGTCCTCCGCCCACACTTGCCTCTTACCAACACTTGCCATTTTTCTCTTGCCGATACTTAGGTGTGCGACACGCACTGTCGGCGACGGTTCGAGTACTTTGAACAAAGACTTATATTGGCGTGTCAGTTTGGGAGAAGTAGCAATGTCACCGCCGAATATCTTCACACGAACGGCGAGAACAACGAACACGCCACGTTTTCCTTTGTTTTCTTTCTGCCCCTTGCAACACTTTTTGAGCCTGGTCAGTAATTACTGCCGTCAGGTAGTCGAGGCCCCCGTGAACACGCAAGCTTAGCATTATAACGCAGCACGCGGCCAAGCATTTGCCAGAGAGAGAGAGAGAGAGAGAGAGAGAGAGAGAGAGAGAGAGAGCTAGAAATAACTTTCTCGTCTCTCTACAAATGACGTCGTACACCCAAATCACTACGTCACACACCCAAGGTCCATGGCCATTGGCTGATTTGAGCATCGTGCGCTGAATAGAAACCGCGTTTGTCGTGGGACGTCGCCACGCGCCCAGGCGTCCTTGCGATTACACCGAAAGGTCGGTCGAGCATTAAACATGAAAAAAACGTCACAGCTTTGCCGGAAAGGCGAAGCAATGAACACGATAGCAACGAATTGAAAGATCACGCGCAGTATTGAAAGCAGATCAAAACATGTCTTGCGTTCCTTACGCACAAAATGTACTCACAGGTACGGGTGCACACGAATAAGCGTCTCATTTGTTACTTTGCCGTGCCTGAAAAGCGCGCGCTTTTCGCAAAAATGATTGCAGTGACCCTTGTGCACCAGGTAACTACAGCGGAATCTTACCAAGTAAAGCCCGAGGCCAGCGAAAGCGTACGACCTTCCCCTCCTCACCTACGCGAGATAAGCGTGAGGGAACGTCCCTCCTTCCCGCACCCTTATCAAGCCAGGCGATGTACGCGTAGATTAGAGCGGGCGCCGCCGCGTGATGCGGCGACGCACGCTCTTGGCGCCATCTTGCTGGTAATGCTGAAAACACAATTTCCTTTGAGACACTCGTGAGAAGCGATAAGTGGTAGATACAAGTATCTCACCGTATGAACTAAGAAAGATGTGCTCCGGGTGGTTCAGTGGTTAACGCCTCGCTTTCACGACGCAGAGATCTCACGATCGCAGCCACGCGCCGGAATGTTCTTTTTTCTGTATTTTTTTCTTGCGTTTTCATGTATATAAGTACTTATAGATATACGTCGCATGACATCGACACCGACACCAACGCCGGCGGCAAAATCCAGCCAGAAATGTCCATGTAATTGCTATCGCAATAAAACGGTGGGAAGCGAGAAGGGAGTGCCCAGGCTTATGACGCGCGCTGGCGAAGGAACGCATCTTGTTGCTCCTCTGTCATCCCTGCATAACTCACTCAAGCCCGCCCACTGGTACAAGAGGAAAAAGCACTTGTGGCACGCGGCGAATCCCTGCAACTCCGCTCAATCTTGACGGTTTTTTTTTTTTTTTTTGCGTCATGACATTCGTGAAGCATGGCGATAGTTATAGCGCGAGAACAAAACGACGACACAGAAACAAGAAAAACACGAGCAATTAGCCCAAGCTGCCACACTTCCAAATTAGTGAATCGTCATGCGCTAATAGCGAGTCAGACTATTCAATTAGCACTCAGAAAAGAGTTGCGGGACTCCATTAACCTTTTCATGAACAGATCAATTCTGTTCAATGCAAGCAACTGCTTCTTAGAATTTGTGGTGCACATGATCACGGTAGGCAAGCAAAATGAAAAAAAAAAAGTGCTCAAGCTTTTCAATCGCAATACTATAATAGCGACTAAGTTCATAAATTCATCAGTTATTGTTTAGTTTTTATTTTTGATACACGTATTCATTCATTACTTAAAAGTTAATACGACGCTATAAAGTACTACCCAGAAGGCAATATCAAAATTTTCTGCATAAAACTAAAACAAGTACCCTCCATATTATAAAAGATGGCTGCATCAGTGAACTGCGGGAACTGACATATTCTCGTTCAAACGTGATTTGACTTCCTTGAAACCAAAACGAGAGCACATGTAGAGAAGATGTTGAATATGAATTCGAACGGAAGAAGCACTTCTTTTTTTTTCACTCTTCTACCAGGCAGTTGCTAACTGACCTACATAATTGATTCCGTTACGTATCACCGGGCTTGAAAAGGAACAGAGATAGCGACGTTATGATTACTCTTGCTAAAAAAAAAAAACGAACACGCTCAGTCACCAAATTTCGTTAGAACACGCATTTGTCACGCGAGTTGAAGGGAGCGACAGTTATGACATTTTAAGATGGGAGACGGCTGGAGGCGGTGGGAAAATGTCGGAAGCGGTGATACGACAGCGCTGCAGGGTGACAGAGGATAGCTGATCGAGTGAGTCCGTGCTATTGAGAGCGTCGCGAAATTCCGCTACGTCCAAAATTCCGCCATTCGTTAAACCTAACTGGCCCTGGCGGCTGCTGGGGCCGATCCGATCGGCTAAAAATACACCCACAGCGTAATTTGACAATACGGCGGAATTCTACACAGTGGCATCCGCAGGTTTATGTTTTTGGAGGGGGGGGGGAGGTACAGACTTGCGTAGCATGGTAGTGATGCGGGGGGGGGGGGGAGGCACATGGCATGAGCGAGAGACAAACGCAGTTGTATTTCGGGGGTGGGGGGATGCCACTTTAGCGCACCCGAGTCAACGTACAGGACAACTATAGCGTCCAGCATAGCGCACCCGCAAGCACTACCGCACACGAACACACACAGAGACAACAATGTGCGCACAGAGAGAGAGAGAGAGAGAAGACGTCAAGGCAGCAACAATGAAGATTGCCCGAGACTCGGCAGAGACTCGCGTACGATATTTCATTACGGCGGGGACGCAATCGTCGCCAGAGCACAATGAGAGCGTGCAATCAAAGGGGCCCGTTCCGCGTGAACGGTAAGCAAACGAGCGGCTCAAAAAAGAGCACTGAATGCGCGTCGCGTATGCATACGCTGCTGAGCACACATCGCGCAGGCAGCAGCAGCGAGAGGAGAACATTTCTCGGCAGGATGAGCATGCAAAACAGCTCGTTATATGCGCCGGAGTGTGAGATGAAGCCGCGATTAGCTGACGAATAGAGCAAGGCAAATATACGGATAAAATAAAACGAATACTTGGGACACGAGATTCACGCGCAAACGAAGTACTACCGTGCACGTTGTTTAGAGACACGACAAAGAACGGCTTTGGTTTTATAAAGCGTTATTTCGAAGCTTTATTGTCTTTCATTATTCGAAGAAGTGTTGCTAGAAGCGCTCTTGATTTTTTTTTTTCGTATGTGATGTCAGAACACAAGCACTTTACAGTTGTGTTTAAAATGGTAGTGTTTTAATGTGCATTCTGTGCCCCGATCAATAAGGCGTACGCTCTTTCGACGCCCCAAAAAGGTTACTGAAAGAATGGTATGCTGGAAGAATGGTATGCTGGAAGTACAAACACTGTGCCGAGTGTTTGTAATGCGGGCACAAAATTACAGCGCGAAACTACAAAGGCGAGACATCAAATAAACGCATCGCGGTTATGAATTGAGCACTTGCGCTCGGAGTGTTTTTTTTTATGTTGTTCTTTTAGTTGTAATTTTGTGTCTGTAATTTTGTGTCTGTAATTTTGTGTCTTTTGTGTCTGTAATTTTGTGTCGCGCTGTAATTTTGTGTCTTTTGAGACCATCCGTTCAGACTGAACATTACTCGTTTTTAATTAGAATCCGAACACTCCTTTCCAATAAACTGTAAAAGCATTTGATCACCTCTTCGGTCAGTAAACGAATGCTTTTTCTTTGATATCGTCACGTAAATATACAAGCTCATAAGACAAGAACGCTAACTGAGCAATTTTCCGAGGTCTGGGTTTATTCCTGTTACTTTAGCAGCTGAACAACTAAAGTTAAGTTTTCCAGGATACGAAGACGACGCGACCTGATATGGCGGCACTAAAAACCGCCCGTACAACAGAACTACACACCGTCGATAAAGACCGAATGCGACAATACGCACATCGGTGTTTCAGCCTTCCGGAGATGCGTGCGTTTGACGCACGAGTATACCCAGAAACTACGGCGACGTCGCTCAAAGGTGCTCGCTTCTTACGAGTTCGATCAGCCGATGATGATCAGGCTTTGCACACGCGAGCACTGTGGCGTGCACTATATATATACAGCGAGCTACAAAACAATACGGACCACATGGCGACCCCGCCGTCGACTGGCGTCGTCTGCAGACGTCCTGCCACGAGGAAGCCGCCGATGCGCTGACATAAGCCCGCGCTCGCGTGGCCCACATTATTTTGTGCCCGACTGCGCACTCTAAAGGTAAATGACGCAACGGGGCGTCTTCATGCAATAACCGTCATCCAAAACGAGCGAATCAACTTGCATTATCGGCGCTCGCCGCCAGTATTTCGAGGTAGGCCCGCTGTCCAGGGGAGGGGGAATAGGTCCTAGAACCGCCCCTCCCCCGAAGTTCTGATGAAAGGAGGCGTTTTGCCGAACACAAGTAACGAAAAAAAAAGGTGTCCTTCCAAAAGAGTGCCCACAAAAATTTCCTGGCTACGGGCCTGCTTCGAGGTCACGACGAACTATGGCGCGCTATCAGCGTGACATGGCATTCTTGATTAAAAAATAAAAGTGGCGAATGCCGAGCCGGATGATGACTGGAATACACCCCAAATACTCCCCCTCAAGTTTTAACTATCGGAGCCAAAAGGACTCCCCAAATGGTCAAGTGGCGTTCACTGACCGAGACTCCGTTGACGAGCAGTCCGGCCACGTTGAGGGGCGAGAGGACGACCACCTCGGGCGTGAGGCTGCTCATGTGGCTACCCACGCTGCTCGTCAACGTCAGGCTGCTGGACGAGCCGTGGCTACCCGTGGACAGCCGGTGCGCGACCTACGTGGGACGGTTACAGCGTGGCAGATATGTTTCGTGCCGCACAAGTGGCACTGTCAGCGCTCACACCCTACCCACCTTGGAGTCGGCGGACGAACTGGACGACGAGCCCCGACCGGAGTCCAAGCTCGAGCTGCTGTGCCGAGACTCGACGCTTCCCCCGCTCGGACTGTCCCGTCCGGGGTTTCCCGTCACGCCGGTGTCGTCCAGCGAACCGGCGAGGTAACACACGCCCCGGTTGCCTGCACGCAATTCACCAGCCTCGCTCATTCAACTGACAACGCAGTGCGCTTAAGTTACTCGATCGGCTAATTCGGCAGCGCTGAACTGGCAACCGAATGATTAGACCCCGCGAATACAGGGTGAGCAGCCGGGTAAAGCCCCACAATCATTTTAGAGCACTGCGGCACGTACTGGAGGCACTTTCGGTTTTCATTATCCGGGCGTAAGTTGGTCCACTAGAATTCCGCATTCCCCAGATTTACTGAAGCCTTATTCCCCGTCGAGACAACGTCACATTGAAGCGTCTTCATGCTAGAAAGACAAACAGGAGAGGAAAAAAAAAAAAAAAACACGGCAAGGGTGGAAGTTCGCGATGAACAAAAAATGCGCATACTGAGGTTGCGTGACCGAGACAAATAGACTTCTTCACGGCTAAAGCTGATTGTTACAGCACTGAAGACAAGTACAGTCGACCACAAAAGTTTACAGACCACGTGCGTGCGTTACCAATAATAAGTATCTGCAGGACACTTCACGACAGCAGCGCCCATCTTTCCCTCACTTCATAGCATGTCTGTATTCTGACAGGATACAAACAACTTTCAATTTACAACGCAACGCACTCTTTGGCATATGTGTCTACATGCTTCTGCCTAGAGCATAACTGTTATCAGCCACGATCACAAAGAACTGTGACGGTCGTGCTGCAGATAAGCGCCTCGCGTGCGAACTGATGATGCGCTGCGCGGCAGTCGAAAATTGAAACGCCAGTGAATATCAAGAAGAGCCGTTTTGAGGTCCAGCACTGCGATCGACGGTGGGTGGCGCAACTTGCGCGGACACGCAGTTTGGCAGGCGTAGTCCGCCAACGTTTGTGGCCGACTGTGTCGAAACGTCGGCTCGCGCACACAGTTTTCGAAAACGTGAGACAACGCAACAAGCTGCACTTCGTGCGTTCACGTGTGGCCTTTTTTGGCGTAACACTGAAACGAAGGTGTCGTCGAGTATTCCCCAAATTGCACAGCAACAAGTTGTTATTGAACACATTCAATGTTTTCGCGCGCTCACCGACAGACGGCAGTCCGGGAGGCAGCGGCGTCGTGGGCATGCCGACTGGAGTTCCCGGGTGGCTCTGCGGTCTCGACAGTGGTGCCATCTGCGTAAACGAACGAAAGGTGCATGCCAGTGAGCATCAAATGCAAGCGAGATTATTATGTAGCCCTACAAATAGCAGGAACAAGGAGGAAATAAGCGAATGTTAGTGAAAAAATAAAAGGCTTCTCACACCAGTGGTGCCTACAGAAAGTGCGGAACTGAGCAGCCCTGTTCTTTGTTTCAATCCGGTGTCAAGTTTGGTCTGTCCTGTTCTCTCTATTAGTTTTCCTTTCTTTCTACTTCTTACTTGCTTCACCTTTGAATTTTATACGTGGCTAGTGTTGCCGTGTTTCCCTATAGCCATAATAGTAAAGTCCCTCACCACGAAGGCGTTCGAGCAACAAGAGCAAGAAAACTTTTAGGCGTGAGCAATACACTACACAGATGGCTACGCTACACATGGTTTTGTGTGCATTAGCCGAAGCGACGACGATAGCCCGGCTTTCTCAGAAGTTATCCGCACTTGAAACGGCACCACGCTGGCGAGCGAGTGTTAGCAATAAAGCTCGCTGCACACAAAGCACGTATATACACTGAATAACAAAAGGACAAATAGGTAAGTCATGACTGAAGGAAATCATCGCTGCAGTTTCCTGAAATGGTTAACATGACACGAATCGCTACAATGAAAGGAATGAGGGAGTCAACATTAAGATTTTCGGTAAAAATATGCCCAGTACATTCACGTGCGAGGGATCGATCGCCCTGTGCGACGATGTCTGCCGCGTGACACGGTCTAAAAAAATCGCTGCACTTACGCAAGCACGCGATCGCATCTGCGACGGCCGCACGACGTAATGTTCGGTTTCATCACGTTGACGAAGGGCCGTATTACAGGGCAAACGCGGATGACACGCCCACGTCACGGCCCGCTTTCGAAAAAAAGATATCGGCTCCAAGACAAGACGAGCCAACAGGAGACGACACGAGATTCCGAGACAAGATTGCACGGCTCCAGAGTGCTGCTGCTGCTAGTGCCATGCACACCCACTCGATGCAGCCACAGAGTTTCATAGTATACGCCAGAAGAAAAGCTCGCGCAAGCGTCTATAGGGGCCATGCAACACATGACGCTTAACCCTTTCAGACACCACATACGAAGTAGTGTCTGTAAGTACGCCAAATTGACAAAACATCATTGTAATGAACACAATATTCTATTTTATGAAAAAAACACAACCTCATCATGTGTTGATTTATGTGTGTTATAGTGACTGATTCTAAATGAAAACTTGAGAATGGGTCAGTTGGTTGAACATGAACAACGTTTTTTGCACAGCTCTAGAAAAATAAAACTGAACCCTAGTGACAGCGAAGACACATGAGGATAAATATATACACATAATTACAACTTCATTTATTCTTGTGTTGGTATCATTCATACTCGCTTTTGGCTTAAATATTGCCCCAAAATTAGTTTTCAGTTACATTAATTTTTATAAAAAAGAAACAGTATTTTTGCGTGGGCTCTCAGGAAGCGGCACATCGAAGCGTTCACCTAACATGGTAGTGCATTCAGCAATGCCACAGTATTCAACAGTACATAGGACAATAAAAATATACTTTTTTTTTTCTCGCAGCAGGTTCCATTCAGCAAAAGGACACTGTATATTGCGCTTTCTTAGCCACCATTCAGCGGATGCTTGGGCTGGTTGATGATATGGAATCAACGTACTTGCACAGCGCAAGAAAACTAGTAGTTACGACGAACTCTTACATACATTTGCACACTCTCCACCTGACCTACCCCACGGCGACACTATTTCACATCACGTGGGAGTGTGCCGAGCAAGGAGAAGAGCACGACATATATGGCACGAATGGGATGCGCTGCTGTCTCGCTAGGTCCCAGAAGGTCAGCGACGACTAAACCGAAGAGCCGAACGAATGACTCATGCCAGTGGGGCCTTGGAATAGGGACGCCATCCAGCCGGACAAACTGCGATTTTTCCCCCTGTGTTACTAGCCTGTCTGGTCTCTGTACATGATAACGTTTCTCTACTACTACTACTACTACTACTACTACTACTACACTGTATCTACTTGTTCACTTGCGCTGTGCATATATGTTGACACCAGTCGACACAACAAAGACGAGTGGCGCACAAAACTGTGTAGAAAGCTTCTGTAATGGTTAAAGGAATGACGAGCAGTACATGCATTTGCGCAAGTGCTCTCGTCCTTCATGCTCCTCGTGAACTGCAGTCGTTCCGCGGCAAGTTCAGCAAGCTTCAGCAGTCCCACTTGTTCAACACTTTGACCCCTATATAGACTGGCCAATTCAAATCACGTCACGACAGCCGTTGTTTTATCCGGAAACCAAAAGCCAGAACAATAAGTGTAGCCAAACGTGCGCTAGAAGCGGCAGGCACGTATACTGCGACCAATTGATGCAATAATTGCCACGGCGGCTGAACGATCAGTGCACCGAAATTCCCCCTTGAGAAAAAAGAGAGGGGGCGGGGAGATAACGATTAATATCTCTTGAGACGCACCTTATTCCTTCAAGACACGAAGCTGTGCAACACGTGGAGTTTGTCAATAATAATAATAATAATAATAATAATAATAATAATAATAATAATAATAATAATAATAATAATAATAATAATAAATGGGCTTCAAGTGCCCAAAATCACGACCTCATTATTAGAGACGCCGTAGTTGAGTGCGCCGGATATTTCAACCACCTTTAACGTGCACCTGAATTAATTACACAAGCCCCAGGCGTGTTCACCTCCACGAAAAATATGGCCGCCGCTGCCGGAATTCGATCCCGCGACCTTCGGGTCAGTAGTCGAGCACCGTGACCACAGGGGCTGGGTACATACTACGAACTGTGGCAAACAAGGGTGATTAGTGTTGGTTGCCTTTTTACTGCAGCCGGTGCACAGGATTGGTATAAGCTGCATGTTACAATCCGTGTAACAAGGGGTCGCACCTCGCGCAGTCGGTGTGATAAGGAAAGAAAGACGGATCGAGCAATGTATTGAAGGAAAGAGTATAGAGGAGTTTTTTCTTTATTTCTCTCTGGCGTGCGGGGGTCAAACAGCAGCTGTGCGGAGGCCTACTCCCATAATCGCGCTACACTGCGGCAACGGCAGATGACATCGACAGGCCGAAGGAGACTGGGAGAGGGGCACCCGCACGTAGGCGGGCATAATCGAGGTCACACACACACACCGGCTGACACGCGAGAACGCAAGATAACGTCGCCACAGTCGACCACACGGCCGAGACAAGAAAGAGACCGACGGGAAGGCGAGCACGAACGGGACGAAAAGCGTCGCCCGAGAAGGCGGGGCAGGTACGTAATGTAAGCTGCACGATGGTGCCGAAAAAAGAAAAGAAAAAGACGGGAGAGGGCGGCAAAGCGTGTAGGGAGAACTGTTTCAGAACCTGAAACCTCAGGAGGAGGCATGCAGTGTTTTCTCCGATGACGCACTGACGGTACCAAGCCTGAAACCAGGCATTCAGGGGAAGGGTGTTTCAGATCCACTAACGTGATCGGCTGTACGTTCGGATAATCTCAATGTTTGGTAAACCGGGGGAGAGTATTGGTATTCAAACAATTTGTTTGGTGAACAAGCGTTGTTAGTATGATCAACCGCGATACACCGTGGAACACAAAACGCGAACCTTTAGCACCGAAAAGAGACGAATGCCCAAGCGCTCCGTGAAGATGGTCTGCTGTAACCCGTTTACTACAATACAGTATAGTGAAACGCTGTGGAAGCTATTGAAGTTCGGTCAGCAAGTTGCGAGATTCCGCGCGTGGATTTCGTCGTTGTGGTCGTTGTAGTAAGCCTGGCCTCTGCGACTGGTTTTGGCTAAGCGTTACCGCAACTAATCGCAACAGCCACGATACGAAAACAAAGGCACTCAGTGGCTCAGAACAAACCACTGACCAACAGCGGCGTATGCCCATTTCTGAAGCCTAAATCATTTGAAATATTACTCAGCCTAAAAAAAAACATGATTGATTCCATCATAATAACAGGTATAAGACGAGTGAAACTTCTTTTTACTGAAGTAGTTGAATGATTGCTGTACATCGATGCAAGAGTGCTTGCACAATGTCTCTTGACAGCTATAGCCCCATTTAGCGTGAAAGCACCCATTGACACTTGGTGAAACATTTTCATTCGGACGACTAACGTTCATGATTAAACAAACCCTCGTGGTAACTGTAGTAGCTAACAGTGAGAGCGGCGACAGCCAGGAGAGCCGTCACTGAATGGATGCCGAAATTGGGCTAAGGTCACCTGCTCACGGCATGTCGTAGTATTGAACACCACCGCCCGACTAGAGAGGGGGGGAAACGACTTTGCTGAAAGACGAGGTCGTCGAATCAATTCAGCGTGCCGGTGGTGCGAAGGGTGATGTTGCGGACACGTTTTTATTCACATTTTATGCCCATTGGGGGCTGCGGTGAATGTCAGTAGCCTGCCACGACCGTTTCAGCCCAGTTAACCGCTTCTGCCTGAACACAATAGTCGGTCGAAGATAAGAGTGACTCCCACGCCTCCATGGACGAAGCTGGCAGTAATGTCTTTGGTGGAGGGTTCCCCTCACAATCCCTCAAAAAGTGTTTTTGGGTAGCCCAAAGGCAGCCGCAATGTCGGCAGTGTCGTTTAATGTCTTCTGGGTAAATTTTACACAGCTGATGAGGGCTCGGAAAAGAATTTGTTTGGATTTGCCTCCAGGTCACAGATTCTTCCAGTAAGCATGGGCTAGCATTGCTCATTAGTTGTAGTTCCTGCGCACTCACGGAACGCAACATTTTCGCACCCGACAGACTTACAGAGCTCCCCGCAGACCAGCAGACTCTACCTCGGTTTACTCCTTAAGAGTGGCTTGCTGGGCGCGTTGGTATACTGCATCATCGAAGAAATCAGCGGGAGAAAAGAAGACACCAACTGTGAACGTGTGGTCCCTTTCATTGACAAAGTCTTTCGCGATGCGCCTAAGTTGTTGTCTACGCACATGAGATAGAAGCAT